CGGGGCGTGGTGGTGGGTGCCTGTAATCTCAGCTACTCGGGAAGCCGAGGCAGGATCATTGCTTGAACCCAGGATGGGGAGATTGCAGTGAGCCGAGATTGAGCTACTGCCCTCAAACCTGGGTGACAGAGTGAAACTCCAACTCAAAAAAGAAAAAAAAGAATATAGAAATAGGAAAAACTCTTTCAGAAAGGAAGAAAGAAAAAAAGGAAAATCTAGGGCATGTTTGTTTGGTGGCAAATCTTTAACCTCTTGAGGGTAGTCCCTGTGAAGAAGCCTTCCCACTGTGAGTCTTGGGGTGCTACCAACAGAGCTAAGATAAGGGACCTAGAATGACATAAAGATGATCTGGAGTGAGGATGGCTATGCCAGAGCTGGCTGGGGAGACTGAGCAGTCAGCGCTTGATTAATTAATAATGTAATAGAGGGCAGGTTGGGCCCTGGGGACAGCCTCACCGGCACATAGGCCACAGTCACAGATGGCCCAGTTGGCAACGTGATGGTTCACTTTTGGAAAAGAAATGTGACACAGCCTTTCTGGGATCGGGGTAGCCAGTCTAATTCAGGAGAGCCAACAGGGTATGAAGACCTGGACGTGGGAGCCTCCAGCCACCAGAAGGGGGCAGCACCTTATTGAAATGAGAGACTGAAAGGTCCTTTAGGCTACCCAAGAAGGTTTTGGCAGAGTATATGGGAGTGTTGGGGGTCTGGGAGGGAGGTGGAATAGGGATGATACATTTTCAACAAAATTTTTCTTTTAAATAAATGGGGGCTACCTTGGGCAGGTGCTGATGTACGGACAGCCGTATCGTGTTACCTTAGAGCTTGAGCTGCCAGAGTCCCCTGTGAATCAAGATTTGGGCATGTTCTTGGTCACCATTTCCTGCTACACCAGAGGTGGCCGAATCATCTCCACCTCTTCGCGTTCGGTAAGTGTTTGTGAGAAGGTATGGAGGAAGGGGCAGGATCAGAATGGGTAGGGGTCTGGGTGTGGTGGCTCATGCCTATAATCCCAGCAGTCTGGGAGGCCAGGGCAGGCAGATCGCTTGAGCCTAGGAATGCAGGACCAGCCTGGGAAACATGGGGAAAGCCATTTCTAGAAAAGAAATTATTTTACTTAGCCGGGCATGGTGGCACAGGCCTGTAGTCCCAGCTACTCTAGAGGCTGAGGTGGGAGAATTGCTTGAACCTGGGAAGTTGAATCTGCAATGAGCCAAGATCGAGCCACTGTTCTCCACCCTGGGCAACAGAGCAAGACTGTCTCAAAAAAAAAAAAAAATGTCTGGGTAGGGAATCAGGAGAATTCACCCTTGGCTCTGAGGTCACAGACACATCAAGATAAAGAAAGGAATCAGGCTGGGCATGGTGGCTCACGCCTGTAATCCCAGCACTTTGGGAGGCTGAGGCAGGTGGATCATGAGGTCAGGAGATTGAGACCATCCTGGCCAACATGGCAAAACCCTGTCTCTACTAAAACTACAAAAATTAGCTGGGCATGGTGGCACATGCCTGTGATCCCAGATACTTAGGAGGCTGAGCCAGGAGAATCACTTGAACCAGAGAGTTGGTGGTTTCAGTGAGCCAAGATCGTGCCACTGCACTCCAGCCTAGGCGACAGAAGAATACTCCATCTCAAAAAAAAAAAAGAGGACTCAGCTTAACCAAATCAGAAACATTTGCCAAACATCCCAGCCATCTCATGAGCATGCCCAGCTTTGGGGTGAAGTGTGAAGAGTAGAGCTGCTCTCAAAAACAGGCTTTAGAGCCAGACATACATGGGCTTGTGTCCTCATTCAGAAACAAGCTAGCTGTGGGTCACCTGACTTAAATTCTTGGACATTAGGTATTATAAAATGGGTATAATAGTAACTGCCTTTTAACAAGACTAGTTTGGATTCAGTGGAGACATGTAAAATTCCTATTAGCACATAGTGGGTGTTTCATGTTTTTTTGTTTTTGAGACAGAGATCTCGCTCTTTCACCCAGGCTAGAGTGCAGTGGCGCCATCTCAACTCACTGCAACCTCCACCTCCTGGGTTTAAGAGATTCTCCTGCCTCAGCCTCCTGAGTAGCTGGGACTATAGGCACCCACCACCACACCCAGCTAATTTTTGTATATTTAGTAGAGGTTGGGTTTCACCATGTTGGCCAGGATGGTCTTGAACTTCTGACCTCAAATGATCCAACCATGTCGGCCTCCCCAAATGCTGTAATGACAGGTATGAGCCACCGTGCCCAGCCTCATAAATGTTCAGACTTCATTCTTACATGACTTTGCAATAGAACCTCATCATGAAGCAAATTCCTGATGTCTACATTGGGGGGGAAGCTTCAGATGGTACGCTGGGACTTAGACCCCTTACTGGATTACAGAACTACTTGGTGGGAAAGGCAGATCAGAGACAGTGCTGAGCTTAAGCTAGGAAGGTTTCTTGGAAGGAGGAGCCTTTGCTTTAGAATAGAGTGTGGTTGGATAGGGACAAAGGTAATCAAGCAATTGGAATGGTTGGGTGAAAACTGAGGGGTAGGGAAGTGAAGGTGAGGGAGCCGGGGACTTGAGCAAGAAGCAGCCTTTGGAGACTGCTCTGGGGTGGTTGAGGGGTAGGTAGGGTCATGGGGACCTCGAGCACCTGTCCCCAGCCTCTCCTTTTCCCACCTCTGGCAGGTGATGCTGCATTACCGCTCAGACCTGCTCCAGATGCTGGACACGCTGGTCTTCTCTAGCCTCCTGCTCTTTGGCTTTGCAGAGCAGAAGCAGATGCTGGAGGTGGAGCTCTATGCGGACTATAGAGAGAACTCGGTGAGTGAGGTGAACGATGACTAGGAGACAGCCCCTCCCCACTAGCCCAGGATTCTACCTGAGGAGCTCCCAGGCTCAGTCAGGAGGCACCACACCCCTGGAAGTGGGCCTCAGATGGGGTGGTTAAGAGTGCCAGTGGCAGGGCCCTGGCCTGACGCCACCCTCATCCCACCCGCTTACAGTATGTGCCGACCACTGGAGCGATCATTGAGATCCACAGCAAGCGGATCCAGCTGTACGGAGCTTACCTCCGCATCCATGCACACTTCACTGGGCTCAGGTGAGAGGCCACTGGAGTGGACCTTGGGCAACTCTCACGGGGGTTGACCTTCCACCAAGAGGGTCCCAAGCAGAGGTAATGGGTTTACAGAGTCTGGTTTCACAAAGGCCAGAGGTTCTCAATGCTGGCTGCCCATTAGCCTGTCAGCTCCCTGGGGAACTATTTTAAAACACCCTTGGACACCTCCTAGACTAACTGAACCAGAATTTTTAAGGGTCATGTCTAGGCATCGGAATTTTTCATTTGTTTTTTGCCCCTGCCCTCCCCACTCTTCCGTCCGCCCTGTCCTCCACTCAGACATTGAGGGCTGAGGGCTCCACCTAAGTGAGCAGAATTTTTTAAAGCACCCCGAGGAGTGCTGATGGGCTGACAGAGTTGAGAGCTACTGTCTTGAACTGCTGTCTCAGCAAGAGTTGGGGTGACTCTTGAGAGACAACCAACATTGAGGCTGTGGCCTGTGGCCCCACCACAGGAGACTTCCCAAGGTCCTTGGTCTTTGTCAGAACCTGATACAGCACGTTCTGGGAACTGTGTGGGTGGGAGGCAGGGGCGGCAGAGCCGGCTGCAGCCAAACCCACTTGAATTGCCCTAGAAATTATTCCTGGGAAATGAGAAGGCTGGTCTTCTCTGGTAACCGCTGCTCCCCTCCTGTCCCCACTTCCTACCTCAGATACTTGCTGTACAACTTCCCGATGACTTGCGCCTTCATAGGTGTCGCCAGCAACTTCACCTTCCTCAGCGTCATCGTGCTCTTCAGCTACATGCAGTGGGTGTGGGGGGGCATCTGGCCCCGACACCGCTTGTCTTTGCAGGTCGAAAAGGGCATCTCCACTTGATGATCTTTGTGGGTGGTCAGGGGTGTGTGGGGTTAGGGCATGAGGACCCTGGTTGTTGGTGAGGGAAGTTAGTCCCAGCTGCTCAGTGGTTTTTCCTCCATAGGTTAACATCCGCAGAAGAGACGGTTCCCGGAAGGAAGTCCAGCAAAGGATCTCTGCTCATCAGCCCGGTAAAGGTGTGGGCTGGGGAGCTGTTGAGGTGGGCTGGGTCAGAGGTAGTCCCTGCTTCATCCAGTATGAGGCTTAGGGTATCACAGACTGAGACAAGGGTCAAAGGCGAGGGGGTGAGGTTGGCACTGCCATTCGGGCACAGCCACCCTATCCTAACCTGTCCTCTCCCACTTCAGGCACAGGGCCTGAAGGCCAGGAGGAGTCAACTCCGCAATCAGATGTTACGGAGGATGGTGAGAGCCCTGAAGATCCCTCAGGGACAGGTATGGCACAGTGCCACCCTCTCTTCTTCCTCACTCCTTGGCTCTTTCCTTCAGTGTCTGGGTCTGACCCCTGCGTTCCCCTTTTGGCTGCAGAGGGTCAGCTGTCTGAGGAGGAGAAACCAGATCAGCAGCCCCTGAGTGCAGAAGAGGAGCTAGAGCCTGAGGCCAGTGATGGTGAGGGGCATCCTCCAGCGGGACCTGGGTGGGACCCCCGGTTAATCTAATACCCCATTTGGGATTTTGTTTTTCCCTTTCCTGGCCCAGGTTCAGGCTCCTGGGAAGATGCAGCTCTGCTGACTGAGGCCAACCTGCCTGCTCCTGCTCCTGCTTCTGCCCCTGCCCCAGAGACTCTGGGCAGCTCTGAACCCTCTGGGGGTGCTCTCCGCCAGCGCCCCACCTGCTCTAGTTCCTAAAGAAAAGGGCAGACTCCTCACATTCCAGCACTTTCCCACCTGACCCCTCTCCCCTAATTTTTCCTTCAATAAACTATTTTGTGTCAGCTTCTTCCTTGACTCTGAAATAGATTCAGGGCCATTTGAAAACCCTGTGTCCCCAGGCATCTCTGTCTGCCATTGGAGGAGGTCTTCTTGTCAAGGGCTACTCATGGGGGAGGCTTCCAGACCTGGGCTATTTTAAGCACAGATGTTTCCATTCATAAGCCTAGGAAGTCCAAGGAGGGAGAAGCTATCCTGGCCCCTAGCAGTCTTCCCACTCCATGCATGTGACTCTCATCTCCCCCAGGGGAGGGGGTGGTGTAGGGCAGGTCTGGATAGCTGGGAGACATCATTCTAGCCCCCTCTACACCCCTCCCTTCCTCCCTTTCTCTGTCCACTGGGAGGCAGAAGACAGGAAATGACTGCCATGCATCTGGTATGATTTTTACCAAAACAGCATTTTGCAGCTCAGCCCCATGCTGTTCCCAGCTGTTTTCCTCTGGTACCAGCCAGGTGGCCGCCTCCTATGTTCCCCTCCCCATCCCTTCACATGACTTCGGCCTTCAGCTTCTAAGCTCCTGGCTGCTTTCCACATTCCGCTCGCCTTCCAGAACCCAGGCATCCTGGTCTCCAGCTGAAACCGTTGCATGTGGCTTTCCCCATCCCTGGCCCCGTGACTCAGTCCCTCTGAAGGGAGCAGCCCTCTTTTTTGGCAATCACCAGGAGGTAGGGAAGGAGGAGGGAAGCTAGGTCGTTACATCACAGTCAAAGGTTATAAAAGCTTCCAGCCAAACAGCATTGAAGTTGAAGATACAACCTGACAGCACAGCCTCAGATCCTGGGGATCCCTCAGCCCAGCACCACAGACATTGGGTGATAGATTCCTGCTGCATCAAGGCCTACTCACTGGTGAGGAGCTGCTCTGGGCCACAGAGGAGGAGGCGGGCAGGCAGGGGCCAGGGCCCCTTGGACAGAATTTGCACAGATAGCAGGTGGGGAGGGAGGATTCTAGAGTTTTTTTTTTTTTTTTTTAAACAGCTGTGCTTAAAATGTTTCTCCCTTCTATCTCCTTTCTGGGTTTTTGCTTGTGTCACTGACAGATACTTGTTTCTGTTGAGGTCTCACTGTCACCCAGGCAGGAGTGCTGTGGGGTGATCATGGCTTACTGCAGCCTTGAACTCCTGGGCTCAACTGATTCTCCCGACTAGCTGACTACAGGCATGTGTACCATGCCTAGCTATTAAAAAAAATTTTTTTTTGTACAGACGGGGATTCACTGTGTTGCCCCAGCTGGTTTGGAATCCTGGCCTCAAGCATTCCTCTTGCCTGTACAGCCGCAAAGTGTTGGGATTACAGGCATTAGCCTAGGGGCCTGGGCCTGTTACTTGTTTTGCTTTGATCTTTTCTTTGGGTGGCAGCTAGGAAATATCCTACGGTTCTTCCCTGGGCTAAGTAAATCATTTCCTTCCCTCTCTCCCAGTACTTTATTAATTAACTGTTTCTAATACTTAACACATACTGATCATGCATCTGCCTCATGTGTCGGATCATGTTTTATTTTTTGTCTGAAACCAAGCACATGGCCCGGCCTCAAGTTGGTTGACAAATGTGCATGTCTACCTCTTTCCAATCTCTTTCCTCTTCTGGTCCCCAGTTGCATTTTCCTGTCCCCAGAGATTGTGTCCAGGCAGGGGGCATGGCACACTTTCGGGCTGAACAGGCTTTATCCACCGCTTCCCTTCCAGTCTCCATGCTGGGCCCTCCCTGCCTTCTGTGGTTCCTGGTCGTGACCTTCCTGGTTCCCAGAGGTCAGCCCTTGACCCCTCAAGACTTTGAAGAGGAGGAGGAAGATGAGACTGAGACGGCGTGGCCGCCTTTGTCAGCCGCACCCTGCGACTACGACCACTGCCGACACCTGCAGGTGCCCTGCAAGGAGCTACAGAGGGCCGGGCCGGCGGCCTGCCTGTGCCCAGGACTCTCCAGCCCTGCCCAGCCGCCCGACCCGCCGCGCATGGGAGAAGTGCGCATTGTGGCCGAGGAGGGCCGCGCAGTGGTCCACTGGTGTGCCCCCTCCTCCCCGGTCCTCCTCTACTGGCTGCTGCTCTGGGACGGCAGCGAGGCTGCTCAGAAGGGACCCCCGCTGAATGCTACGGTCCGCAGAGCCGAACTGAAGGGGCTGAAGCCTGGGGGCGTGTATGTCATTTGTGTGGTAGCCGCTAACGAGGCCGGGGCAAGCCCCGTGCCAGAGGCTGGAGGAGAGGGCCGCAAAGTGGCTGACATCCGCCCCTTTGGGCCGTGCAGCCGCCTCGTGGTGCCGCCCAACCCCCACACCCTGGTCCACGCGGCCATTGGGGTGGGCATGGCCCTGGCCCTGGTGAGCTGTGCCGCCCTGGTGTGGCATTTCTGCCTGCGCGATCGCTGGGGCTGCCCGCGCCGAGCCACCGCCCGAGCCTCAGGGGCGCTCTGAAAGGGGCCTGAGGGCATCTCGGGCACAGCCAGCCCCACTTGGGGCGCTCAGCCCGGCCCCCCCGGAGAAGACGGGGACCCTGCTGCCACCAGGGCAGGCTGGACGGCGAGCTGGGAGGCAGCGCCAGGGCCACAGCGGAGTCTTGGTTCTCTGGGCTGAGCGCTTGTTTAGGTAGCGGGCTTGGCGCTTTGTTTCCTGACTGAGGTCTGGGAAGGAGTAGAAAGAGTCCCCACATTTTTTTTTAAAGGACCAGATAGTAAATAATGTAGTCTTTGCAGTTTAAGAGGATAAAATCGAGGATACTATTATGTTGGGTACTTATATGACCTTTGTAACCATTTAAAAATGTATGAACCACCCACCCGACATGAAAATGCAAACCTATAGTAGCAGCTACTCCGGAGGATGAAATGGGAGGATCTCTTGAGCCCAGATATCCAAGTCCAGGGCAACATGGCCAGACCCCTTCTTCTTCTTTCTTCTTCTTTTTTTTTTTTTTTTTGAGACAGAGTCTTGCCCTGTTGCCAGGCTGGAGTCAGTGGCTCGATGGATCTCAGCTCACTGCAACCTTTGCTCCCAGGTTCAAGCGACTCGCCTGTCTCATCCTCCCAAGTAGCTGGGATTATAGGCACACACCACCAGGCCCTGCTTTTTGTATTTTAGTAGAGACTAGGTTTCACAGTATTGGCCAGGCTGGTCTCGATCTCCTGACCTTGTGATCCACCCACCTCAGCCTCCCAAAGTGCTGGGATTACAGGCGTTAGCCACCGAGACTGTTTTTTTTTTTTTTTTTTTTTTTTTTTTTAAGAGGGAGTCTTACTCTGTTGCCCAGGCTGGAGTGTGGTCTCGATCTCCTGACCTTGTGATCCACCCACCTCAGCCTCCCAAAGTGCTGGGATTACAGGCGTTAGCCACCGAGCCTGTTTTTTTTTTTTAAGAGGGAGTCTTACTCTGTTGCCCAGGCTGGAGTGTGGTCTCGATCTCCTGACCTTGTGATCCACCCACCTCAGCCTCCCAAAGTGCTGGGATTACAGGCGTTAGCCACCGAGCCTGTTTTTTTTTTTAAGAGGGAGTCTTACTCTGTTGCCCAGGCTGGAGTGTGGTCTCGATCTCCTGACCTTGTGATCCACCCACCTCAGCCTCCCAAAGTGCTGGGATTACAGGCGTTAGCCACCGAGCCTGTTTTTTTTTTTTTTTTTTTTTTTTTTTTTTTTTTTTTAAGAGGGAGTCTTACTCTGTTGCCCAGGCTGGAGTGTGGTCTCGATCTCCTGACCTTGTGATCCACCCACCTCAGCCTCCCAAAGTGCTGGGATTACAGGCGTTAGCCACCGAGCCTGTTTTTTTTTTTTAAGAGGGAGTCTTACTCTGTTGCCCAGGCTGGAGTGTGGTCTCGATCTCCTGACCTTGTGATCCACCCACCTCAGCCTCCCAAAGTGCTGGGATTACAGGCGTTAGCCACCGAGCCTGTTTTTTTTTTTAAGAGGGAGTCTTACTCTGTTGCCCAGGCTGGAGTGTGGTCTCGATCTCCTGACCTTGTGATCCACCCACCTCAGCCTCCCAAAGTGCTGGGATTACAGGCGTTAGCCACCGAGCCTGTTTTTTTTTTTTTTTTTTTTTTTTTTTTTTTTTTTAAGAGGGAGTCTTACTCTGTTGCCCAGGCTGGAATGTGGTCTCGATCTCCTGACCTTGTGATCCACCCACCTCAGCCTCCCAAAGTGCTGGGATTACAGGCGTTAGCCACCGAGCCTGTTTTTTTTTTTAAGAGGGAGTCTTACTCTGTTGCCCAGGCTGGAGTGCAATGGCACCATCTTGGCTCTACAACCTCTACCTCCCGAGTTCAAACAATTCTGCCTCAGCCTCCTGAGTAGCTGGGATTATAGGTGCCCACTACCATGCTCAGCTAATTTTTTTTTTTTTTTTTTTTTTTGGTAGAGACAGGGTTTTACCATGTTGGTCAGGCTGGTCTCGAACTCTTGACCTCACGTGCTTCACCCACCTCAGCCTCCTAAAGTGCTGGAATTACAGGCATGAGCCACTGCACCCGGCCAGACCCCCTTCTTTAAAGATGTGAAAACCATTCTTAGTTCATGGGCCATACAAATCAGACCACTGGCTCCTTGGCTGTAGCTAGTTGACGTGGATCATACACCTTCTAAAGGGCTCTGTCACTGTGGGTGGCTTCAGTGGGATTTTGAGAATAAGTTTACATTCTTGTTAGGTAAAACAAAACAAAAACAATAATATCAAGGAATTTCTCCTCCCCTTTTCCCTCCATTTGTATTTATTGTATATCCACTTTAACAATATTAAAGGACCTTTAAAAGGAAGTCATTTTCATTATGATTCCATTCAATTCACTATCCACACACCTGTTTTTCAGAGTAGTATACATACTTTTGAATTTTTAAAATTAAGTGAATGTAGAAAAGTCTGTTTTGTGTTACTACACAGTATAATCCTCACTTGTGTGGATATTATAACTTTTTTTTTGAGACAGAGTCTCACTCTGTCGCCTAGGCTGGAGTGCAGTGGCACGTGATCTTAGCTCACTGCAACCTCCACCCCCTGAGGTTCAAGTGATTCTCCTGCCTCAGCCTCCTGAGTAGCTGGGATTACAGGTGCCTGCCACCATGCCCAGCTAATTTTTGTATTATTAGTAGAGATGGGGTTTCACCATCTTGGCTAGGCTGGTCTTGAACTCCTGACCTCGTGATCCACCCATCTCTGCCTCCCAAAGTGCTGGGATTACAGGTATGAGCCACCACGTCTGGCTGGATATTATAACTTTTTAAATAATATAGTATATATTTTATAGAGATGGGGGGGGGTCTCACTATCTTGCCCACGCTGGTCTTGAACTCCTGGACTCAAGAGATTCACCCCCTACACCCCCGCCTCCAACTTCCCAAAGTATTGACATTACAGGTGTGAGCCACTGTGCTCAGTCCTACTAATATTACAACTCTTTTTTTAATTATGAAAGTAACACATTAGGCCAGGCACGGTGGCTTACACCTGTAATCCCAGCAGTTTGGGAGGCCGAGGCAGGTGGATCACCTGAGGTTAGGAGTTCAAGACCAGCCTGGCCAACATGGTGAAACCCTGTCTCTACTAAAATACAAAACTTAGCCCGACGTGATGGCAGCTACCTATAATCTCAGCTACTGAGGAAGCTGAGGTGGGAAAATCGCTTGAACCCAGGAGTTGGAGGTTGCAGTAAGCCAAGATTGCGCCACTGCACTCCAGCCTAGGGGACAGAGCAAGACTCCATCTCAAAAAATAAAAATAAAAATAAATTTTAAAAAAAGTAACATACAAATTTCAGTTAATACTGAATAATATGGTCCAGTGCAGCAGCTTATGACTGTATCCAACACTTTGGGAGGCTTAGACAGGACGATCGCTTGAGACCAGGAGTTCAAAACCAGCTTGGGCAAAATATCAAAACTTTAGCTCTACAAAAAATTTAAAAATCGCCTTTTGGCTCGGAGGAGGCCAAGGTGCAACTTTCTTTGGTCATCCGGAACCTGAGTTCATCCGACACCAGCCCCCTCCACCATGCTGCCGAAGTTCAACCCCAATTATATCAAAGTCGTATCCTGAAGGTGCATTGGGGGTGAAGTTGGTGCCTCTTATTCTCTGGCCCCCAAGATCGGCCCCCTGGGTCTGTCTCCAAAAAAGGTTGGTGATGACATTGCCAAGGCAATGGGAGCCTGGAAGGGCCTAAGGATTACAGTGAAGCTCACCATTCAGAACAGACAGGTCCAGATTGAGGTGGTGCCTTCTGCCTCTGCCCCGATCATCAAAGCCCTCAAGGAACCACCAAGAGACCAAAAGAAACATAAAAACATTGCCATGCGCAGTGGCTCACGCCTGTAATCCCAGCACTTTGGGAAGCCAAGGCGGGTGGATCACAAGGTCAAGAGATCGAGACCATCCTGGTCAACAAGGTGAAAGAAACCCCATCTCTACTAAAAATACAAAAAATTAGCTTGGCGTGTGCCTGCAATCCCAGCTACTCAGGAGGCTGAGGCAGGAGAATTGCCTGAACCCAGGAGGCGGAGGTTGCGGTGAGCCGAGATCGTGCCATTGCACTCCAGCCTGGGTAACAAGAGCGAAACTCCATCTCAAAAAAAAAAAAAGAAAAAGCTTTAACAGAAAAACATTAAACACAGTGGGAATATAACTTTTTTTTTTTGAGACAGAGTCTTGCAACCTCTGCCTCCCGGGTTCAAGCAATTCTCCTGCCTCAGCCTCCTGAGTAGCTGGGATTACAGGCACACGCCACCATGCCCAGCTAATTTTTTGTATTTTTAGTAGAGACGGGGTTTCACCATTGTTGGCCAAGATGTCTCAATCTTTTGATCTCGTGATCCACCCGCTTTAGCCTAGCCTCCCAAAGTGCTGAGATTACAGGTGTGAGCCACCGAGCCCGGCCGGTAATATCACTTTTGATGAGATCGTCAACATTGCTCAACAGATGCGGCACCGATCTATAGCCAGAGAACTCTCTGGAACCATTAAAGAAATCCAGGAGACTACCTAGTCTGTGGGCTGTAATGTTGGTGGCCACACCCTCATGACATCATAGATGACATCAACAGTGGTGCTGTGGAATGCCCAGCTACTTAGGAAGCAAACAGGAAAATATTTCAATAAAGGATCATTTGAGAACTGGTGGGAAAAAAAATTAAAAATCAGGCTGGGCACAGTGGCTCATGCCTGTAATCCTAGCACGTTGGGAGGTTGAGGCAGGAGGATCACCTGAAGTCGGGAGGTCGAGATAAGCCTGACCAACATGGAGAAACCTCGTCTCTACTAAAAATACAAAATTAGTCAGGCATGGTGGCAATTACACATGCCTGTAATTCCAGCTACTCAGGAAGCTTAGGCAGGAGAATCGCTTGAACCGAGGAGGCAGAGGTTGTGGTGAGCCAAGATTTCACCATTGCACTCCAGCGTGGACAAGAAGAGCAAAACTCTGTCTCAAAAAAAAGGAGAAAAAAAAAAAAGGCTAGGTGCAGTGCCTCACACCTGTAATCCCAGCACTTTGGAAGGCCGAGATGGGCAGATAACTAGGTCAGGAGATCAAGATCATCCTGGCCAACATGGTGAAACCCCATCTCTATTTTTCTTTTATTTATTTATCTATTTATTTTTTTAAAGATGGGGTTTCGCCATGATGGCCAGGCTGGTCTTGAACCTGGCCAACATGGTGAAACCCCATCTCTATTTTTCTTTTATTTATTTATTTATCTATTTATTTTTTTAAAGATGGGGTTTCACCATGATGGCCAGGCTGATCTTGAACTCCTGACCTCAGGTGATCCACCCACCTCGGCCTCCCAAAGTGCTAGGATTACAGGCGTGAGCCACTGCACCCAGCCGATTTTTCACAAAAAAATCAGCCAGGTGTAGTGGTGCTTGTTGTTCTAGGTACTCAGGAGGCTGAGGCAGGAGAACTGCTTGAGCCCAGGAAATTGAGGCTGCAGTGAGCTGTGATTACTGCACTCCAGCCTGGGTGACTGAGCAAGACTTTGTCTTAAAAAGAGTAATAATTCAAAAATCATACTGAAGACTACAAAATGAAAGTTCTCCTCTTCAAGAGGTTATTATCCTCACCAGAGCAGATCTTTTTTTATGAGATGAAAATATTTCATTTTTCACTCACTGTTCACTTATGGACAATGTTCCATGTTTGTAAATCATAGCCTCCTTAGTTATGTTAAAGACTATGTAACACTTTACGGGAGGATGCTTCAGGGTTTTTTTTTTTCCCGCTTGTTTGTTTGTTTTGATACAGGATCATACTCTGTCACCTAGGCTGGAGTGCAGTAACAATCATAGCTCACTGCACCTTCGTCCTCTCAGCCTCAAGGAATCCTCCTGCTTTAGCTTCCCAGGTAGTTGGGACCACTATGCCCAGCTAATTTACTTATTTTTTAAATTTTTTTGATAGGGTCTCATTCTGTTGTCCAGGGTCTGGAATGCGGTGGCATGATTTTGGCTTGCTGCAACTTCTGCCTCTGGGCTCAAGACATCCTCCCACCTCAACCTCTCAGTGGCTTGTGCCACCCATGCCCAGCTAATTTTTATATATTTTTTGTACAGATAGGGTTTGGCCATGTTGCCCAGGCTGGTGTGGAACTCCTGGACTCAAGCAATCCACCTTCCTGGACTCCCAAAGTGCTGGGATTAGAGGTGTGAGCCACCATGCCTGGCCAGAAGGATGCTCCTTAACCAACAAGAATCATCACTCTTTGTTGGAATATTTGTCTCCAGTGTTTCCCGTGGGCATCCTTGTTTGCGTATTCTTGTGTTTGTGTATTCCTGTAGGGTACTTATATGGAATTAGATCAAAGAGGCAGTATTGTAAAATTTAATAATTTGCCAGGTGCAGTGGCTCACACCTGTAATCCCACAGCTTTGGGAGGCTGAGGTGGGTGGATGGCGAGGTCAGGAGTTTGAGACCAGCCTGGCCAACATGGTGACACCCCATCTCTAAAAAAAAAAGAAGGCCAGGCATGGTGGCTCATGCCTATAATCCCAGTATTTTGGGAGGCCAAGGCAGGTGGATCACCTGAGGTCAGGAGTTTGAGACCAGACTAACCAATAAGGTGAAACCCCATCTCTACTAAAAATACAAAAATTAACCAGGTGTGGTGGCAGACTCCTGTAGTCCCAGCTACTTGGGAGGCTGAGACAGGAGAATTGCTTAAATCCAGGAGGCAGAGTCTGCAGGAGCTGAGACTGGGCCACTGCACTCCAGCCTGGGCGACAAAGCGACACTCCATCTCAAAATATATATATATATTTTATTACTGAACCTCTAGAATAAATTTAGAATACTACACTATCCTGGCTGGGTGTAGTGGCTTATACCTGTAATCCCAGGAGTTTGGGAGGCCAAGGTGGGCAGATCACTTGAGGTCAGGTGTTCAAGACCAGCCTGGCCAACATGGTGAAACTTCATTTCTACTAAAAATGCAAGAATTAAGGCTGGGCTCAGGGGCTCACGCCTATAATCCCAACATTTTGGGAGGCCGAGGCGGGTGGATCACGAGGTCAAGAGATCGAGACCATCCTGGTCAACACAGTGAAACCCCTGTCTCTACTAAAAATACAAAAATTAGCTGGGCATGGTGGCGTGCGCCTGTAGCCCCAGCTACTCGGGAGGCTGAGGCAGGAGAATTGCTTGAACCCAGGAGGCGGAGGTTGTAGTGAGCTGAGATCGTGCCATTGCACTCCAGCCTGGGTAACAAGAGTGAAACTCCGTCTCAAAAAAAAAAAAAAGCAAAAATTAGCTGCATGTAGTGGTGGGCACCTG